GCAATTTTGGTCTGGAATTATACGTGATTTCAAATAGAACTCTTGCTGCGCGTTCGTTCGACTTCAGACAAATTACACTTCACTAAGTTCAAAATTGTAAGACATGAGGTCGAATTGAACTAATGGCATCAATAACAAATATCGAGATTAAGGTGTTTTGAGAACTTTGTTTCAACGAAAAAGTCAGTTGCATTTTCCATAAGTTTCAAAAACTGTAGGGAACAAGAGAAAGAGGATAACTGACGTGTGAATGGCGGAGGTGTCTAATCTCAGGTATCCAATTATAAAAAGTTGTAATTGGACCCCCGCGTGATCGCGCGCCGATTACGTGGCCAACATGGGCGCGGAGCCGGAACCAATCGCGACCAAGATCGATTACGATGCAAATGACAAAAACACTCCTACCATCTTCCAATTTCAGCTTCCTTCGAGCGCTTAAAGCACGTGAACCCACTTCAGCCGTATGCGCTGTTTTTCCAGGTGTTGACCCTGGTCTTTCCTTCTGATTTGTCGTACTTGTATCCTCTGTGAATGTGTCTGCAGAGAGATTTATTACTAATATTAACATAGATCAGTGTTACGTGTCAAAACAAATCCATAATGAGATGGATACAATATCAAATACTCATATACACCTCAAACTTGAAAGGCTGTGTTGGCTGGCTAAGGCTTATACCTGCTAAGACGCTAATGAAAACTTCAAAGCCTTCCAAGTGTTGGGGAGAATGTATTAATAAAATCGTCTCTCTCTCTTTGCCCTTTTTCAAATTTTAGATGTGCCTCGATTGAATCTACATTTGACATTACAAAGGGGTGGAATTCAAGAATAAAGCTACTGTAGCTAAGTTGAAGCTCATTAAATAGCCCGGCTACAAGGATGGTATAAGCGTATGTGAATAGCTATACGAAGGATCTGGTGTTTTGCCAGCTGCAAGTTGAGAGTTGCTCGGTACTATGTTCGACCTTAATCTTGTAAAAACAAATGAACCGCTCGCTCAAAGTGAAGCGTCTTGCTGTCTTAAACAATTACACCAAAACATCCTGTTAATTAATTTGTTACTCTAATCTTATGTTTTACATTATGTTTTTAGCGTTATAATACCACCTCGATATAAACTCGGTTTTTGCGTGCCCAAGAAATGATGGCGTCTCAAAGAAAATCTCCTTGAAATAATGATTTCGATTCCAATTATTTCTTTGGATACAAAGTAGTATTAAACTTCTCGCTTTATCGAAACTGGGTGCGTTCTAAATTGACATTATATCTTGCAGCTTTGTACGCTCTCATTAGTTGATCCGACAATTTTGAAGTTTGAAGTTACATAACGGTAAATTTTCTTTAAGTATTCTCGGGAACTGCGGACTTATCCAGTAATATTTCTTAAGTTTCGAAAATTTCATCTCTGAAATTTCTGGTCCTTTTAAAGTTTGCTCCGGAAACTGTATGTCTTGCTTTCTGACTGGCTCCCGGTTAACAGTGACTAACCGGCGTTCATATATCTTCGAATTTATCATAAATGGAAAATGGAATGGTGATGTGTTAACTTGACTACGAGCAGTCCCTCTTTTTCCTCAGTTCACTGAGCAAGAAGTAAATTCAAATAGAGTGGAACTTTCCTACGGAGCAGCCTTTATAAGACCCAGCTTACGATCAGTGAGAATTCCGTTATAGTAAAAATGTGTGGAGAGTTTCACCTTTTCGTTTCAAATTCAATAAAGTGAACCATTCAACATATCCACTGAACAGAGATGTTTTTCATGCAAATCGAGATCGTATAGCCTGCAGCGCTGTGTAAGTCCAGACAAAGATCTGTTGCCTAAATGAACTATATTATTCACCTGAAAAAGTTGGCAAATTGGCAAAAAGAGTGTTTTGAAACTGCAAAAAGCTAGAAATATGACTACTGGATGGTGTGCAGCCGTTTTCAGTTCCTATTCCGCCGTTTCTCTGCTTCCAGAATGTACTTACCGTAGATGCCTATGGTTTCTGACCCGAGAAATGAGCGAGAAGAAGCGGAAAAATAAAATGTAATTCGAAAGTGGACTTTGAGAAAGCCTAACATCAACTTTTTTGCATAATCACAACTTTGTTATATAAACAAAAGTCGGCCAGAAAAATGCACGACTGTAAATTAAATGCTGTTCC